CTTTTCGTTTCCTGTCGACAGCGAGTTGACGAGATATGTCCCAGCAGACTTGACGATTTTTTCTCTCTCTCTCTATATATACAGTATATATATATATTTATATACAGTATATGTATTTCTCTCTCGGCCCGTTGTAATCTATTCGTTTTCCTCGCGCGTACCAAGGATGATTTACAGGCGATTGCGAATTCTTTCTGCTTCTTGATACCTAGTTCCAATCAACCGTGCGATAGCTTTTTTTATCGGTATTCATTTCCTGTTATATTGTATATCAAGCAGTCTCATTGCCAGAAGAATGCGAATTCGACATTTTCAAGGTATAGTAACGGGGTTTTTTTCGTGGTTCCGTTATCGCAGCAGAAATTCATTCATTACCGCAAGATCCTCAACTTGGCGTTTTAATGAACAGAGCACTTTATTCAAAAAATGGTGTGCAGTCAATAAACCCTCAACAAAAGGCATGAAAGTTGAAAATCGGATAATAATCCGGGGTAATCTGGTTTTTATTGCCCAACCTCTAAAAACCGAAAATGAGGTCTATGTCTGTTAGCAGTGTTGTTTTTCGAACATCATCTTTGAAAGCAACTTGAAAGGCTGGGCGAGCATAATTTTGCATCGATACTGTCGATGAATAAGGGTGGACACAAAATGTGCGTCAATATTAAAGCTGTAAGGTTCCTTCAGCAGTCTACGCATTTTTGAGCTATATTTTCAGAATTTGAACGCCGTGTTGACTTTTTTAATGTCTTTTGAATTCTGCCCGATTTCATTTATCGAGGTACGATCAGCCCATACAAAAATATTCCCATGGTTCATAATAGACTGCTGAAGCGATAGTACCGTTTTTTTTTTCATCAAATTTCCTACGACTATCTGGATAAGTCACCGATGAACGAACTACAGTAATTTTTTCTGAAATATTTCACCATTTTTTAATTAAAATTAATCAGAAAAATTTCAGCGCAAGGCCTTTTTTCAATTACCGGTATTCCGCCCATGTCCTGGTACTTGTGTAGTACACCTTACGTGTGACTTGTGTTCCTCTGTCTTGGAAACGAATCTGAGGGTTGAAAAAAAAAAGAGAGAAGTTATGAGTGAGGCTGACCTGTAGGGAATAAGAATGATTTTTTTTTAATCTAGTTGGAGCTTGTGCATTGTTTCGAGGAAGTCGACGGAACGAAGCTCAGCGTTTTCTTCTGAGATTTTAAATATCCACGTCCTTGTTGAGAATGGTGTCCCTTTGTGTCGAGAGATACGAGATAGGTTTTCTCCTCTGTCGCCTGCTCCCCCTTTTATTTTTCTTTTGTCTATTCTTTCTCGTCGTCGTTTTCCACCCTATATACGTAACGATACACGTATCCGAGGGGTTTCCTTTTTTTTAATTTTGGCGACGAACGCGTCGGATAGAAGTTTATTTCATGATGGGATGCAGAGGACAATTTCAAGGTTTATATGAGCTCCCCGTGACATGCAGCAGGCGGACCGAGTCGACAGTTTGACAGCTTTACGCCTCCATCTCCCCTTGTTTTCCTTATTCCAGCACGGACCCTACCTTTTTTTTGCGCTGCCATCGAACAGTTTTTTTTCTTCTTCTTCTTCGTCTTTCGTTTCTTGGAAGACCACCCTTTTTGTTTCTAGGGTTAGGTTGGTTGGCTGTGCGATTTCTGGTCAGGAGGCGGGGGTTCTGGCAGCCCAAATGCGATCCCGTGAAAACTGCGAATCGAACGAAGTTTTTTTTTTTTTAAGGATCCTTTGCTAAAAATTGGAGACTGCAAAATGTTTCTAATGCGGTCATGTCCCGTATTTACTCCAGTCAATGCAGCATTTTCATGTCGAAGAAAATTTTGAAGATACTTCAGAACGGCCTATATTTCAGAATTCAGTCGAGTCAATTCAAATTTTAAGGAACCAGAAAAAAATTGTGGCTCGGGGAGAATTTGAGTGGAGAAGGTTCTAAGTTGGGAAGCAAGCATTTTTAATGTGGGAAACATAAGAATTTCAAAAAATAATAGTGAAATTCTGGGGCCTAAATCGCTTCCTAAAGGAATTGACAGGATGCTGAACGTGGAGCCAGGGGTTCATTTGTCCAATTCGTCTTCCACTTCCTTTCAAAATACATCAAGTTTATTTTCCATGGCTTTTCTCTTTCCTGTGTCAAGAAAATAATATCAAAAATTCCTTTAAAAAATTCGGGTTAAGTAGGTTTTTGGGAAGAAAAGCCTTCGAGTTGTAGAAGTTTATAATGCATCGTCTCCAAGGGAATTCAGATGGGAACTTGGAAAAAAAATTTGACTCAGAGAGTTCGGGTCATTGACGATCAACTGTATTTTCCAGGAAATGATGGTGATAAACGTAAGATTGTAAGGAGGTTAGAAGAGATTCCAGTTTAAAATTTGTTCAGAAAAAAAAAATCCGGACGTAGGAAATTAACCGTGAAGATCTTTTCCTCCGGGTGATTCCCCAGCAACTTGTCTTTGTTGTGTTATTACAGAATTGCCTATGCACGAATTTTCACGAAATTCCTTGTAAACGTTGGATTTTTTTCTATGACATTCCGAGGCCAAATGTCACTTTTTGTTTTGCTTTCGTGCGCATTCAGACTCTACTCTGTTCTGTTCAAATGTTCACCCAGAATCAGGATGCGGCCCATATACTCGCATCTGGAATGTAAATTGAATAAATGCATTAAAACTAAGAGTCTGGTTTTTTTTAATAATAGCGTGAATAAATGAATGAATAAAACTTATTTGATCAAAATGGTGGTTGCTGCGATTGATCAACCGTCTTTTTTTTCTCTCTCGGAAATTCCCTCGAGGAGACGCTTTCTGGAACAAACCCCGAGATTCTGGATCCCTTCTCTGGCTCTTTGTGCTCTAGGGAAGATTTGCGAGTCCTATGTGTTCCTGGCTCTTGTCGATGGAACGGGGGAAAAAAAAAGAGAACGAGGACGAAACCCGTCCTGGTCCCATTTTGTCGCGTTTGATTCGGGCGACGCTGGAGGGGGAAATGCTCAGCAGAGAAGGCGGATAATGAAATTTGAGTTCTGTCTTCTTCTCTTCTCTTTTTTTTCTGGCAAGAGGTGGTTCTTTTTCATTGACGTCAGACTGGAATTTTTCGCAACAGATGCCTGGATATTGGCGAGACGGGAACCCGATTGAAATTTCGGGTTCCGACTCGCTTTCTCCGAGATATTAAATTTTCTCGAGGCCTATGCTCAAGTTCCAAGACATTGTCTGAACATGAATGCAAATTTTTCCTCGTTCTGAGTCTGCAGTTTTTTTCTGAACACGAGAATGTGTTAGTTATTTTTTTTTTAAGAAGAGACTTTTAAAATGTGCCAAAAGAACGCACGAACTCTCATTTATGCTTGCCCGAACGAGGAATCCAATCACAGTTCATGGAATCGAGTCCCTGAAGTACTACATGCCTTTGAAGATTAATATCGAAGTGGAGATATTTTCTAGGGATAGTCAGTAAGGATTCAGTGAAGCATCAAAAGTCTCGTTCTTTGTTTTTGCTTTCCAATTACTTCAGCCTTTAACAAAAGATAGTTCGAGCGCAAGAAATATATTACTGTATTCCAGTGAAATTATTTCAGAAAAAAAGAAAGAATAAATCAAATTGCATCTTTTTCGGAGAAAAATTGTAATTTTGACGATCTTGGATTTGAGAAAGTTTTTACATGGTTTGTAAACCTGCCGAGCACAATTTCGAATGATCTCGAGTTGGTTTTTGAAAGGAAGACAGGGCACGAAATGCTTGGAATCCCGTCGAGCGCATCAATCTTCAAGTCAGGAAACGCGTGATGGCAAAATCGACAGCGAATCCCGGCGAAAATAAAATAAAATTTCCTTACTTTCCCTGCTGGGTCCTAGTTAATAATTGTGCGCGTCGGTGTCGGTGTTTGTTTTGCTCGCTGTTCAGGCCGCCCTCGCACAGTTCTTCCTTTTCGCTGGATTTCTCTGTTTTATTTATTTATTTATTTATTTTTCTTTTTGTATTTTCATGGACACTGTAGAGGGGGGTTCGTTAGCCACGGCAGAGACGTCGTTGTTGAATAACTGCGGAATGATCGATGGGACCTGGTGGGCAGATTCACCTGCGTCTCTGCTTCGGCTCTCGTTTATATCATATGCGCACCTTTTTTTGTCCCCCACCCAGCGTTGCCAAGGACTCATCGTTCTGCTACCCCGGAATTCATCCTTGAATCTTAACGACTACGAAAAAATGTATGAAAGAAGCATCCCGTGACGATAATAACTTTGTATCGCTGTCGAAGACACATTTATGCGAGGTGTGTCTTGATTTCCGCGACGAGCTGAAAAATACACGTACCGCGCAGCTTTTATTTTTTTTATGATAATTCGTTATTTGATTGATAAATTCTTGAAAATTCCGATGCGTCATGGGTTTGAACAGAGTTCTTTGCTCTGATGATTCCACCTTCACCGATTTTGAGACTTTCTTTATTTTCGCAGCATGCGATTTATCGATGAATTGCGTGTCGTAGTTCTTCTGGGGTATCGCTCAGGGATTTTTGGGCTAATTTTGTGGGCACTTGATTGCCTTGAGACATTGAAAGAATTAGTATCACAACAAATATTCTAAATTTCGCAGAGATGGAAAAGCACGATGCGTTTCTGGTCAATTTTAATTCAATTTTATTTTTTATAATTTTGAAGCAAATACTATGTTCGGAAAGTTCTGGGCATCAAAGATCGAATCGTTGTCCATAATTTTACTGCAAATACTTTGCGAAACGTGGAGAGTGTGTGTATGGAAATCAGACACCCCTTTTAGAATGCCTCGACGCTGTCGAAGTTGTGCATTGGAAAATGTGGGTTGATATTTAGATCAGTTGTTCAACGGGCCGGGGAATGATGGATGGCGTCTGTTAGACCGGGTTATTGGAAAGCTCTCAATTGAGCAATAAGTCGAATGAGCCATGGGGGGGGGGGGGGGTAAGAACTAGTTTTTGACTAACGAGTGGCAACGCTGGGATGGAAACTTGCATACGAGATGAACTCGAGATACTCATTTCCTCGCCGAGTGAGATTAGATTCCTAAGGACGCATTATCTGCTTTCATCTGCTCCGCAATGTCCGACGCGATTGGGATCGGATTCCGCGCAAGTTGAAGCTCGAGTGCTAACGATGTTTTGGGGGTGTGGGGACTTGTGTCTCATTCTCCTTCTTCTTCTGTCCACAGGTGTCGAATTGGTTCGGGAACAAGCGGATAAGGTACAAGAAGAACATCGCCAAGGCACAAGAGGAGGCGAATCTCTACGCTGCGAAAAAGGCCGCCGGTGAGTTCTGAACACCCACTGTTTGCCAAAACTCCTCGGAAGCGAGATTTCGCGTTCGCTAGTGATGATGTTTTTTTTTTTTTGCTCTGTTTTTTTTTTGTGTCTTTTTTTCGCGAAGAAAAAAATTTGAAAGCAAAGCTATCGCGCCGCAGAGTCTGGGCAAGAGTTACTTTCAACGGGTCCTTGTTGAGATGAAATTGTTCCGAAAAAGTCCTTTGTAATCTCAGTAAGCTGCCGAGTGTTTTTACGCCTGTTGGATTTTATTTTGGTTCGGATCCGCGCTTCGAGCCGAGATCTGTCCTGAGTTTCTGCCTGCTTTTGTTTCATTTCCTTTGGTCTTTCATTTATTTTATTTTTTTGTTCCCATGATTTTGCGTTGACGTGGAGATTTTTATGCAACATGTGATCCGGAATTGTTCACTCGGATTTTGGTTTGTAATTGGTTTGCTCTGATTATGTTGTATTTTCGGGCGGGTAATAAACGTTTTTATTCCAATACACCGAATAATTTCTTGCTAACCCGCTTCCCCCGCACTGCACTCATGAGTGGGTTATGCTTCAATAAGAAAACGAGAAAGAAAAAAAAAAAGAAATAGGCAAGGGAAGAAAAGTCCTGGGACCTGATTCCGTCTGATCGTAACTTCGAAGTCGTAATGCCGGTTTCAGTCGCCTGTAGCCCGATTCCTCAGGTTAGTGTCTCAAAAAATCTTTTAAAAATTATCTTTCTCCTTACCTTCTTATAATCGCTTTCGTCTAAGGAGTGGAATGGGTTTGGTGACTAGTATTCTATTTCTATCCTATTTTTTTGTTCTATTTCTCTCTTTCTAGTGTCACTGTACAAATCGTAACTAGCTTTCAATTCTACGTTTTCGTTCTTTCATGCTCTCTCTACCGCGCACCGATCGTAACTCTACGGCCTTCCCGTCTTCTCACCACGTGAGGTCTTTTCACTCGCTAAAATAGAAACTTCATAGCTCGAGAAGCTGCGGCTAAGGTTTATGTAGCTGACGACCTCATTCGTGTGTGCACTTGGAGATTTTCTTTTGTAAAAAAAAAAGAGAAGGGAAATTGGAATTAATTTTCCAGCGTGCTCAATCATGAACGCAGTGTGTGGGACGCCTGTGAGAACGATTTCCTCGGTTTTTCCTGCAACCCCCGAGTGTGCTGTGGCACGAGCCTGTTTTTGCACGACAGCACATCCCGTGAGCGACAGCGGCGGTGGCTAATTGCTGAGGGAAAAAACCCCTCCTGTGCTAATACAGGGTTGTCCGCAAAATCGCCAATCATATCCTGCGTTTTCCCCCCGAAAATGATACCCAAGTCACGAGGGTCTCATTTGAAGAACTTGTTCTTGAAAGAAAGTCATCGTTGAAGAAAGATTTACTTCCGTCAAAGATGTCTCTTCAATTTCTCTGACAGATCTCCCATAAATTAATTATCTTCTACTCCCACGTTCCTTGTTCGGTTTTTTTTTTTTCGTGTCCCTCGTACAGTAGTGTATGTCGATTTTTCGCCTTCGAGATTTTGCAAAAAAGTGCAATCTGGTCTAGACCAATGTTTTGATTTTGAATTTCGTTGCACTTTTCTTTGAAAATTATTGTAAGGCAGTTGGAAGAAGAAATGTAAACAGAAAATGAGTCTTATTTTTTTTATGAAGTAACTATGGGCAAATATGGAATAAGATCAGACGTGTCTATAGTGAATCGCGGATTCATTCTAAAAGTCTAGTTCGCGTTTTTCTTCTTCCGATAGTGACATAACTTTTTTAACATCTTTGACCCTAGTGATCGTATTGGAAAATTTTAATACCAGCCCAAGACAAATGCTAGTACAGTATATCCGTCATCATAAAATTTGGAGATGGAATTAAATCTTCAAATCCGGTCGACCAGTTCTATTGAAGCCTTCTATAAATCAAGTACCCGGCTAAAATACGCAGATTCGTGACGGAAATATTGCTAAGCAGTTGAGAGAATTTCTAGGATCATTCGTTCTCTTTATAAAATTGAATGCAATCCCAGTGACGGAAAGAACGCAGGCAAATTTTTTTAAATGAAATAAATAAATAGGGATGTCTCGTAATGCTACATGCGTGTGGAATTTTATCATATGGGTCATTTCATCGTGTTCTGATCGAAGCAAGATTAATTTCTATTTTCTTGAATACATTTTGATCCAAACTTGTCACTCATCGGCGTCGGGAGGGGAAGTGAAGCCTGCCGATTAACTCGTTGCTCTCGTATCGGAGCATCCAGATTGCCAATTTGTTCTTTCGCCAGCCCGTGTCTGATCCCTTTGATTCCAAGGGTCCACCGTGTACAAATATGAAGAACACACGGGTTTCAGTCCATTGGGTCCACGGTGGAACAAACAGCAGCTGACGGACGCTGTTGCGACAGCAGCTGCCGCGTGGCGGTTCCGCTTCGGCTCAATCCCGCCGACGGCGCACGTTTTTCCCCCGAAAGCCCTTGTTTTTCGCCGACTCGTTCGTTGCAGGGATATTTCCAGACCCCGCCGACGGTTCAACTGAACTTCCGTCTCTCGAACTTTTCCTTCATCTTTTTTTTTTTCTTTTCTTGTAGGACGACAATTTTGACGACTTGTCGTCATGCAGAAGACAATTCACCCGATCCTTATTTCGAGTATGCTGACCATAAAAGAAAATTTTCCGTAATTCAGAGGCTTCTCAATTAACTTCCTCGATTTACTACATGATCGCCCTAGCTTCCCGCAAAATCAACTAAGAAAATACTTTATGGGGCTCCATGCAGTTGATATTTCGCATTCAAATTTAGGCTGTATGGTTTTCTGAAAATATGAGTGGCATATGCTCGAGATCAATGCGAGGGAAAAACATCATTATGTCAGTGCGAAGTTGAAAAAAAAACAGCTTTTGTGAAAGCATGGAGCAACCCGGAAACGTCCCCTCTCCTCAGCACTTATTTTGTGATGCATTCGGTTATATCCGTATTATTTAACGGATTCTACATGATGCTCCGGTAATAATTAAATAGATTTAAAAGTTTGAAGCATTTTGTAAAGGTATTTAAATCATTACTCTGCATGTGCGTCTTTCGGTCACATTTGCCTCCCACTTTTTTGGTTTCTTCGACAAATCAGACTTTTTTTTTTATTTTGAAATCTCTGCCAGAAGTGTTTACTGTTTATAATCGACTATACAATTACCTAGGTTCAACAGAATAATTAAAGTTGTGGACTCTCCATTATCAGCAATTTGATTAAGAGAAACTAGGAATAATTCGAAAAGTGTGCTTACTGATTAATTTGTATTTGAACTGAAGATGTCGTAAAACGAGCATTAGACACATCGTTATTTGCAGCTTGTGCAGTCAGAGCAGCGAGTGCCAAAAAAAAAGGCCTGCCAAAAAAAACTTACCAAACAGAAATCAACTAAAGGAACTCTTGGCATCAAGTGCGAACGTACATTTTTATTTACTGTACAGTTTCTGAATTTAGTAGCCTTAAAAGCGTTGGTAAGCAAGACATCCTCGAGAATTATATGCTTTGAAAATGTTGATTGAAGCACCTTTAGTTATCAATCCATTAGTGGATAACTTTCTGGTGTTGCTCTGCGCTTGCAAACGAATTCCTTAATTTTTGATACACACGCGCAAGGTTTAGACGCTACGTTTTGTTCTGCGCTAAACTATCCTGTCAGAGATTTAAATGATTTCTTTTAAAGTCTAATCATTTTTGGAAAGCGTAAATTTGTTCGAAATCGTGCCACGACTTATTCGAGGGTCATCATGACGAAAGGTTCGAATCCACGAAGACAATGGCAATCTGCAGCTCGGCGTGGAAAATAAGACTCAATTATACTGTATTTACAATTCCCGACTGGGTTTCCCCTTGAAGTAGAAAATGATAATTTCGGTCGGTCCGTCTATCGTTGACGTACCAGAAAGCGTCACCGGATGTCGTGGAGAAAAGCAGAAAAGAAAGAAAGGAAAAGTGCCAGACGCGTGTGACGATGGACAGAGCCAGGGGTCGATTCTTCCTCTGCGGTTTCGGACCCGGCGAAGATGAACGAGTTGCCGTGTTCACATAAATAGCAGCAGCCGGTTTCTTATTTTTCTTTCCCTTCTCGTAATATTCATTCCAACCACGGCGTTGGTGGCATGTGGGGTGTGTGCAAAAAAAGGTTGAGGTAGAAGGAGTGAAGAGACGGACGGGTGACGAACGCACAGGGGGAAGAACCCAGAAACGCGACGAGGTATGCCGAGTGATGGGTTCGTCGACGGGTTGCGGGCGGCGGAAGAAATGAGGGGAAGAAGGGAAGGGGGGGGGGGGGGGGATGTTCGTGACGCAAACTTTTCCCCAGCAACTGAAGAATCAGCACTATAAGAACGTTGGCCAAAACGCGGGGTTTGTTGTGGCGTTTATTCCGTATGTAAGACTCTATTTGGGGGTTCGTCGTCCCGCGTTATATTTCGGTAATATCTGTAATTCTTGGACCACGATGAAATCAAGAACTGATTTTTATGTAAAATCAAGAACTGGGCAAGAAGATAATCCGAAATTCAACTGCTTTGCCATCGGAATCCCATTTTAAATTTCGTTTTTCCTGTCAAATGAAATGATCGAAACATATTCTCGTGCACTGAAAACCGTGAAAAACGTTGTTAATATGCAGTACTCTGATAGATAATTAAATTCCCTAATCAATGGAAAATGTTTGCCTGGCTGCCCGATGGCGATTCGTTTGTAAGTACAGTACGAATAAACGGGCAATCTGTGTGCAGTAACAACCCCAGTAAACAAAATTAAATGTCAACTTTATCTTTGCTTACATTTTGATTTCTAGCGTAACCATCCTCGCATGGAGTAAATCTACGGGATACCATCGTTAGGAAGAAAAATTAATCGACTTCAATTTGATAGTTTATTTTAGCTTGATGCCTTAAATCGTTCAAAAGATACCACAGTTCGAAAATGTTTCCACTTTTTCAAGTCTTACGTGTAGTTACAGTATTTTACGATTGTTTCGAAATGATCAACGACTGAGAAAATCAATTACTGCTGCGTTTCACGGAAAAATTGGCGTAATTTTCAATTTTCAGCATATCAAACTGTAAATAAAGAAAATTGCTAACTTGTCTATCTCCGGGTTTTCCCTTGAAGATGTGCGAATCCGTTTATCTTGAAATTGTTTCAATCATATTCTAATACAGTAGCTCCCAACGCACAGTACTCTATTTTATATTGCTTACCAACCCGATTTTAGATTGCTTCATTCTGCGGGAATTTGAGGCAGCATTTCACATTTTTTCAGATTATGGCCATTCGTCCCTTAGTGTATTTTGCATATTGCGGATGGATAATCGAATCTATTGCTCTTTTGTATGCTGAACAGAAAGCTTCAACGCATGGTGTTTTTTACTCTTATTATTAACCGATTGAGAATGTGTGCCTTTCAATTACATGCATATTGAATCCCGGTTGATAATTAAATGAAAAGTTTTGCGTTGATGGGATGGAACTATAGTCTCAAAAACGAGGTTTCTCCAATTTTCTGAAAATGGATAAACGAATCCATCGCTCAACTTTTTTTTTTCAATGCGGAAATACTATATTGAACCGAAAGCTTCAACGCATGATTTTTTTTAAACTCGTGTGCGGCGATTGAAAATGTGTACCTTTCAATTTCATGCATATTGAAATCCCGGTTTAAAATAAAAAAAAAAGTTTTGCGTTGATGGAATGGAACTAGTCTCAAAGACGAGGAAGTAAATTAAATTCTCAGCGAAATCTCTCTCCGGCCTTCGCCTCTCGGCATGCCTCGCGGATGAAATCCCTACTCCAGAGAGAGAATGTTCAAATGTATGTGTATATATATGTGTGTGTGTGTGTGTGTGTGTATCTACTGTGTACTTCTGCATGCGAGCCAAGGAAAAGCAGGCGAGATGAATATGAAAGCGCGCTGAATCATGGCCAGGCGGAAATGGGACGGATTCGTGAAATTTATGGAGTTTCACCTGGGCTCTAATGGCCGCGTCGTGATTTCCTCGCCCCGCGCCTTCGTAATGCCTCCTCTATAACGTCTCTTCGCCATCATCTCCCGGCTTCTAAGAAAAGAAGCAGGGGATTTTTTTTAAATGCATGAATAAGTAAAGCGAAACAAAACAAAACCAGATGATCCCGTCGTCATTCCAACTCCGCGCATTTCACCCGAAAACTGCCTCCTGTTCTCCAAACTGTTTATTCTTCTTTCTTCCTGGATTCCTCTGCTGCTGCTGCTGCTGCTTCTCGAAGCAACAAGTCAGCGTGAACGAGCTTTCCGGTAGTTGCAAACGATCCTCTTTTCATTTTTTCTCATAAATAAAAAGAGGATAGTTTTTTTTTTGTAAAGGTGAAACGTGTTCGCAGGAAACGGCATGAAAACGGCGCACATCGTCGAGCTGCTTGTGGCCGTTACGAGGTCGGTAGGAGTGCATAAAACCGGGGGGTTGGAATAAGCCGGGTTATCTTTTATTTTATTTTATTCTTTTTGTGCTCTGATTCTTGCTTGGGGGATAGGTAGCATTGAAGACGGAATTTCCGCCGCGTGCTGCTCGCGGTAATAATGCCATCAATTCTGGTTTTCCCTTCCATGTGCCTTGTTGCGGGGGTCGCCCGGATGTAACGTCGGCCTGGGGATCTATTAACTCCTGCCGGCGTAATGGGATGAGTCCGCGACGAAAAACCTGAGGAAACCCACCCCCGGAGGCCTGATTCTTCGCAGTGTGTGTGTGCGCGACAGAGTTACTTACGCGGCTGTGCCGAATGGGAAGTCGGTCGGCATAGGTCATGGGTGCCCAATCTTATTTTATACATGTTTTTTCGTCGTCTTTCTTCTTTCATCTGCCATGAGTTGACATCGATCGAGTTTTTAAATTCTTGTTCGATGCTGAGCTGGAGCCAGACTTTTGCCCCACTTCGAAGGTCATATTTTGCGACATTTTTTTCGGGGAATTTTTGCAGCCGTCTCCTCCTTATTCAAGTATTTAGTGGCGTAAAAAAAAGAATCGCAATATAGTACAGTATAAATTTAAAATCTTTTTTGAAATCTTTTTTGTCCCTTTCCCGAATTTCTCGTGAATTCGCCAGAATTATGAAATACATGTTTTTTTTTTAATTAAGGAAATTCGTATGAAGTCTTGGGGGTGAAAAAATATGTGCTTCAGCACTTCGGAGCGTTTCAGTTTTTTATACTTCTGGAAATCCCCCTTTCACAAAATTTAGCAGTGATTCGTGCCAAATGAGAATCGAAAGTACGGGGTAATTGATGTAAAGTCGTCGTAAATAATTTCAGAAGATATTCCCAGTTATTTTTCAGAGTTAGAAAAGCTCTTCAAATTTTCCTTCGGATGACTGGATTGCATCACAAATAGGTATATTTTATTGGAACAAGTTTTCCTTTCCATTTTTTGACTATTGGCAAGCACATTTGCCTATAATGCGTACGAATAACTTTGCTACTGTTTTTATGGCTGAAAATTCGACTCCAAAATCATGCATCTGATCCCATTACAGTTTTAAACTTAGCTCCCATACCTTCAATAGATGAAGAGCTCTTCTTTTTGATTCAGTTATTGAAGAAAACCGACGAAAACTTTGTAAGGAAAGTGGAAGGTAACGGAGCTTATCCACACAAAATTTAAAGGGCTGCTTTGTTAATGCAAAAGTTTTAATTGGACTGAAGGTGATGTGGATCCTCCCAATACATTTTATGCAGATTTGCTTTATAAGTATAACAACTGTTTAAAAATGGAGCATGCTGTATGTGCATTTCGCGAATGTTCGCAATTTTCAAGAGCTACCCACAGACAAGTTTCAAGCAGGGTTTGCTGAGGAGTCGTCAAGCTACTTATGAATTTGACCCCCTGAAGACTCAAAAATAACTCGTCGCGAGCGTGGGTGTGTCGGTTGGCAATGCTGACAAAAGGTCGTCGTAGGCGGAGGGGGTAGCAGCAACTGGGGGACCTGAGGGGAAGAGAGAGAGAGAGAGAGGAAAGCAAGAGGATATTGCCTCGCACGTCCAATTCACTTGGCCTAACGACATCTTTTCGGGGGAGGCGGATTTGGCCCCCGAGGCGCGAGGTCGGTCGGTCGGTCGCCGTCGGCTGACGTCGTTGGGGGGGTATGAGGAAAAAAGGAAGAACAGACCGGGGGGGGGGGGTTGGCAGGAAATACGATCAGGTTTTTCGCAAGGCGTCAGGAATAAATTCCCCCGACACCGTCGCTGTCGCACGGGGGCCTCGACGGAGAAGTATATGACGGTAATAATGCGACGCAGTTCCCGCCCGAGATGAACCCCCGGACCCCGCGAGAGTTATTAGCATGGCGATTCCGAAAATTCGCTCTCCGTCCCGCCGGCTAATTGAACTTCCCCACTGTATTTATATTCCGCGGGGTTTTCCTCTAACTCCCTCCCCCCCCCCCTTTTCTTCTGCAGATTTCTTCTTCTCGAAGCGTTTTTTCGTCTGAAAGTCGGGTCACGAGAAGACGAAGAAAAAATAAATAAAAGAAATTTCCGCAAATTCAATCTTCTTTCAGGAGAAAAATGCATTCATGACTACGTTTAAGAGCAATGACATGCGTCTTCCGTTTCGAGCTTCAGTTTTGCACATTACTGTAATCGGCTGCATGAATCATTAAATCCAAATTTTGAAAATTGATTCAAGTGTATTATGTGATTCATTTTCTCCTTCGGAAATTTTTTTTCCCTCAAGAACTGATTTCAGACTGAATCACTTGATACAGTAGTTACTTATTCGCGAACTTACTTATTTTATAATTTAGAAAAAAAAAAAATCAATATAGACACACTGAAAATCGAACAAGGAATTAACGTCCGATCGTTTTGCAGTATGAATAATTTCTGGCAAGATGAAGGACTCATTTGAGGTTCAAGTTCAACCAAAGGCGTGCGGGTTGACCACTCTTTCAATTCCATCGGCGCAGAGACGGTGTTGGTATTTTTGATGCGCGCTGTTTTTGTTTCTAATATTATTGCGTAAAGAATGCGTTCTCAGTCTTTGATGCACTCATGAACACGTGTGGCAGATTGATGCACGACGCAAAAGAAGTTTACTGATCGTGGTTGTGGATTCTTTTCTTTCTCTCTCTCTCTTTTTCGATTGTTGGCAGCTGGAGCAAACCCGTACGGAATGGTGCCGTCGGCAGGGTCAGGCGGGCAGCCGAGCCCGATGGTTAGTCCGCCTCCGGGCAGTGAAGGCATGTACAACATGGCTTCCATGAACGGGGGAGATTCCTCTGCCTACACCTCCATGCCTCAGTCCCAAGTCAAGCTCGAGGTAAGCCGCCATGTTTCTGCTTCCAACAGTACCTTTTGTCCCCTGTAGGCAAAAACTAACGAGTTTCCCTGTGTAAATAAAACCGGTCACTCGTGCATCATTACTTTTGCCAAAATGGAACTGGACTCAATCTCAGAGTTGCGCGCTTTTTCTTCCACTCTCAAGTTTTGTTGGAGGGGAGAAAAGTGCTTGCCGAAACAACTAAACGAAGTACCGTATTTACTCGAGTACCACGCGCACTCGAGTAAGGCGCGAACAGGGGTTTTTCATTTGGAAATTTTGCTAAAATCATATCCCCAAGTAAGATACGCACCCCAATTTTTAGTGACTCTAAAACCACAAAATTTCAAAAGTAAAAACAAAAAATTTGACTTTACACATGAATTGAACATAAATCGGATCAATTTTCAACTTTTTCAATAAACAAGTTTTCTTGTTACATTTGTTCCAAAATTCTCCATTATAATAAGGTATAATGCACACACAACTTCCTAAAACTTCTGGAAAAATGTGTACCCGCTTATGATGCGCACCCCTTTTTTTCTTCTGAAATTTGAGAAAAAAGGTGCGCGTGGTTCGAGTAAATACGGAATAATGACAGCTTTGCAAAAGGGATTTCTCAATATTTTTGTCTCAAAAATCCAAAGGGCGGAATTCATGCGCGAATTTCTTCATGATTAACGTTTCGATTTATTTTTACAAAAAGTTGGTAACATTTAGTATCAGAGTCGTGCTCTTTCCTCTCCCTTCGAATTTTGGCAAGACATCAAGTGTTCGCCGTTCAAGACTACAAATTAGTAGAGCTTTCAAATGTAATTTGGCTGTACTTATTTGATTGGCACATTCAAAAGTAAAACTATTTTTCAAACAAGTTTGACTACGAGTCGTATACAGGGTACACGAGAAAACACCAATAATTTAGCGGCATGGAAAACAAAATTCACTTCGTAAAAATGGAACGCGTACAGAATTTTCCGAAGATGGTATCACTCCCTGGAATCTTGGAGGCTGACACAACTAAAGATCAGGGACATGACCAAAAAATAAATCAGCCAAATAAAATGATGATAAAGATTTTTAAAAAGGGTATTGTGCTTTGATGACCAAGCGAGGAGTCATTGACGCAAGGGAACTGAGAGACTTGCCGAGAAAAAATACAGTATTAATTTTCTAGTTTATTTCATTCAGTTAATTTTTATCTTGTTGGAGAAACTGGATGGATTTTTTTAATGATGTCAACAGGCATGACGATTTATAAGTAATTTTTGATTATGTTTGATACGATATCTGTCCGTTTTCACGTGGTTCGACTGACCGCATGATAGGTTCGGTTGAATGGCATCAAATTATATCATTTTATGCTGAATCCCTCGTAAACCTAATCCTCAAAGCGCAGATTCCAATGTAATTTCAATTTCATGCCTAAAAATATTTCAACTCCTCATTCAGTGCACTTATGTGACATTTCGAATCGTCAGGAGGAATATGCCGGCGAAGTCGTGTTATTTGCAATCGAAAGAAAAACCTGGAAACGTAACAGAAGCTCTTGAACTTGCCCAAGAAAAGTTGAACAGCCAACTAAATTATAGTACTTCAAGCATCAGTTCAAGAGATCCATTCATTAACTGAATTTCGGCTCACAGCTCAGAAACTTTTGTCTGTGTTAATCCAAAGAAGCAGTTCAAGTGAGCAACTTAGTTTCCTATGCCTGCACTTTCATTAATTGCTCATTGATGTTTTTTCGCAAATAAATTAACCCTCTGGGATCAACGAATTCAAAATACTGTAATGTTGGATGCACTGTTTAACACGATTTAACTTGCGGAAGAAGTCCCCATTCCCCTTGCCTTGGAAACCAGGAATATTCATCGTTAAATTATGCATTTATTTAAAGGGTTCAGTATTTTCAGGGGGAAATGTCATACTGATTATTTTTTCCTGGTGATGAATGACGCGTTGAAACCTGGTTAGAATATGAATCACTTGTCCTGATATGAGAAGTAACTGGTAACTCTATTTATGTACTCGGGAAATTCGATTCAGATTGCCCGTCAGAACTCGTCGGGTTTTCGCTGTAAAAAAAACCCATGCATTGTTTAATGGTCTCTCTACACACAATATAAGTGTAGAATATAACGATGATCAAATACCCGGAAGTGTGCACTGAGTAGGAGCCCTTATTGTTGGCCTTCGCAGTAAAAGTTGTTAACTCGTTAGCACCGATCGATGTTTCGCGACTTCACGCGAAAACAACGTGGCGTCCAATGGGCCATAAAAAGAATAAGATCAATAAGACTCGGCTTTTATGGAAGCCAGTATTGCGATGGGTATCAAATTGCCATAAACGCGACTCGTGATAATTATACGATTGCCTCACGGTCGGAGCATGGGCCCAGTCGATCGGGTTCCTGTGATCCAGATGCTCGACGCGATTGCACCTCGTCCTCGTCGTCAAACCCCGGGGAAAGAGTGAATTAAAACACTGCGACGGGATAATTGAGTAGTTTGGGTTCCGGCCCTGCCTCTCGCGGTAGCCGTAATGCATATCTCGGGGAAGTCTTGTAATTCAATTCATGTCCGCCTCTCGTTCCCGTGTCTCGTTTTCAACGAGGAACACGTTCTATTCGACTCTGAGAATGCCGAGTCGAATGCGGTACTTTTCATTCTTCGAAGAGAAGATCTTCCCACCGTAATCTCTGCTTTGTGAATAAAAAATTATTGAAAAATTATATAAAATTGCTTTTGTTCTTGATCGTATTGTAGATCTGAAAGTCGTCGACAGGAAGTGCTGTTGAAATTATGTAATCTTACGCTCTTCTATTCATATGCTGTAGGTTTAAAATTAGACCAATACTTTCAGACATGCAAAATTCAAATTTGGAAGTAATGACGCTTGGTTTGCAGTTTTTATCATTGCGATTAAGCGACGGTCTCGAAAAATTCAACTTGAATTTAAATGAAGAGCAGATATTCAAAATTTGAAATCATTCTTTGTCAGAAAAACAGTGATTTTGGGAAGGAAAACAGGGAACATGATCTTCCAGAAGTCGATATTAAATGCTGTTCATGTTCATTACAAGATTATTTCAGCTGAAGGCTCTTGTTTATGGATAGTAAAAAAAATCATTCGCATAGATTGAGTTCTACACAGGGGGACCAAAAGTTGTACTCTGAAAAAAAAATGAGGCGTAGAAATAATGACGTTCAGTTCCTTTTTTACGTTTCTTAACCTGCATCAAATTAAAAATTATTGCGGTTGAAATCTCGGGTGGAGAGTCGAAATAATGTAAAACTTTTCTCTGTAAAAAATATTTAAACCAGTGCATAGCAATATTACTTTTAAATTGAGATTGATGAGAAATCAGTTAACAAAAACAGGCCCACCATTCAAGAAAATCTTCAAGGAACATCAGAGGTTGGCTTCAAATGCTGTTGGTGTTGTTGCGTTTTTTTTTTTTATTTAACTCAAAAACGCAAGCGGCTTCATGTCTTGGAACTTCTAACAACACCTGTGAAACATCCCTCATTGAAATTATTCCCGTAGACCAAGTGATTCCTATCTTCTTCTTTTTTACAAGATCCATTTAAAAATTCGATCAATCATTTGAGAAAAAGCGCCCACAAACATTCATGGTGCCACTGCGCGTTGCCCTTGCCTAAAAATCTCCGGCATGCATAAAAAAAAAAACGTGAGTTCTTTATATGAAGCGTTTTCATTGTACAGTACCTCGTATATCAGGAACCAATGACCCGTATGTTCGTCCAGGCGTTAAACTCCGCGCCATTTTGCAGATATAAAATTCGTCATAAATTCATTTGTCGTCCTTTTTTCCGATTATTTTTGCAGGTATCTCAAGGAGGCTATTCCAACGCGGGCGGGATGTACGACCCGAGCAGTCTACAACAGGTTAGCCCGATCGACCCCCGCCACTGACTCTTCGAGCACCCGAGCCGGGTCGCCATCGAAGTGACCCGACACCCGAGATTATGACGATAAAAGTACCAGTACCTCCCCGACGCGCGGCCATTGCTTGCCTCCCACCTGCCTTTTCCTGTCGTCATTGCCGCCGTCGTCGTCATCGTCGTCGCCGCCGCCGCCGCTGAACCCCGACGAGGCGGTCGGGCAAGCTGCAGCAGCGCGGAGGACTTATCGCTCCCCCGCCGAATTATTCCAGGGAGCGCCGTTTGCTTCGAGGATTTCATGCCACGCGTAGGAACGGGATTTTGTACATATAAATGAAAAAAACCCCCTTCTGAATTGGTCTCCTTTTTTCACCCCTCTTTGCTCTGTTCTCACTCCATCTGTCTGTACCGTATTTACTCGACTGTAAGACGCACTTTTCTCGCATTAAATGGGTTACAAAGAAAAGCGACGAAAAACAGAGTGCGTCTTATGTGTAAATTCGCTGGTCAAGTTCGTGATTCTTCCTGATCGACACGAAATCTGTAAGAGAAATATTATAAGAGCAAATTAAACAAAGAAATGCGTTCGAACATTTCAGTTTCAGCGAACACGAGTTAGAATCCTGATTTCTGACGGAAACATTTAGGAGATTGAACTGATGACTGAAGTTGGTTTAAAGAATCAACAGGCTCCTTTGATTCTGGAGAAATTGAATGTGATGAACGTGCGTTGGCACGCAGAAATTTGTTTTTTTTTTCATTTTACACGCCCAGGAAGAACGAAAAAGATTTGCGTCGAATGATCGATCGATTGCGTCTTATAATTGAGTAAATAAGGTATCTATTTATCTGTCTAGCTGTAGGGCTACCTCTGTCTATCCTTGCATCTCGTCGCTCTGGCTCAGCTCTGTTGCTCGCCGTGGCCGTGTTCATTTCGATCGAGCGGATTCGATTCGTTTTGTTTTTTACGTTGAATGCCATGATGAAACGAAAGGGTTTTTTAATCGAGAATAAAGGTTTTTCGTTTGTTTGTTTGTGGAAGGCTCGATCTGGGTGTTGACGCGAGTGTTCGAGGTTTTCTTTTTTTTTTTCGAAGGCTCGGAACTCGTCTTTTTAGCGCGCATCGAACGCCGGCGTCAGCAATTAGGTCGCCCCTTTTTTTTTTCGTGGAAATTGATCCTCTGGACGGCTCAATTGTGGGATGAAGGAAGGATGCGCAACTGTTTTTTTTTTTTTGAATGTATTAGGATGAGTCTGAAGACGGACTAGTGTATTACTTGAACGTTACGGGATCCTGAAAATAAAAATTTTTGAAGTGAAAAAAATTCGATCTGACTCGATTTTGTTTCAATTTTTTTTGCAGTTCATTGGCTAAACTCCGCCTTTTTCACGCATTCGTCTGATGCATTTCGCAGCAGCGTTGGCATCATATGGCGCATTGAACGACATGGTGTCATCATCACACGCAAAATACAGTACTGACTTTCATCGAGAGCTATTTTGATTTTTTTGAAGTTGTAAAGAGTTCCCCGCTTAGCGAAACACCGGTAAAACAAAGAAGGGGGATAAATTGACTCGAGCGATGAAATTTTCAGCGAAAAATGCTTACATTTTAGCAGGTTTTGAACTGAAGCTTTCGAAAGATCGAAAATAATAAAAAGGGTATATTTTTGCCTCATCGCCGTAAAAATGTGCAAATTTTAAAAACTTCAAAACACAAACTCGTCCGGATTGCTTCAATTTACATGCTATAAAAAAACTTTCAGAAGTACACGGTTTTACGGATGGCCATGGTGTTTTCGTGTGTGTCTAGAATATATTATTAAATATTCTCATCAGAAAAATAAGAAGTTTATCATGTAATCTGAAGGAAATCATGTTTCACTTCGCATAAATGATGCATAAAAAAGTGTATTCGAGAATGAATACTTTTATTTTATGTGGGAGCCGACCGCAATTCGCTTTTTGTCTGGTTCGAGTGTAGTTCTCTCTCTTTGAAATGCAATATTTTGCCATCAGCGATATTCTTTGAAAAACGAATTTTTCATAGCCCTGCATGCCTCCATATTTATGCATTTCTGTGCCACACTTAAATTCCCTGGATATAAAGAGACATGTTTATTTCATTTGAGTCGCGTTTTATGAACAGTCTGTTTTTGCGTATTCCACTCACATAATTTTTTCTTACAACCTTTGTATGCGCCTCATTGCCGCCATCGGTTAATTACTGCAAGCTCTTCGATTTACCATACGTATTTTTCATAATTTTGTTTGACATCAAAAACCACGAGCTATGTTTCGCCGAAGAAAGCAGGTTATCACTAAGAAAATCCAGCTGGAACACGTCGACTTTTTAAACCATTTCTCGCAAAATACAAGAGTCTATTCAAGAATGAACCTCGTTTGTCAAATACTGTAGTTGGAAATCTTCCTCAAAACAATATTAACGATCTTACGGAGTTCGGCTTTTTAATTATTGAAATTTTTTCGTCAGTTGTGCTTATTGCAAGGGTTCGCGACAAAATTGTGAATTACTGAACATAAAATTCCTCAATTCAGGACTGCAATACAAGAAAACACTTCGGAAAATATCCGTTCCTTGTTTCGAAGTCTTGTGATGGATCCCAAACTGGTTTGGCCTATTTTCAGGATTATGACTCCGAAGTTGAAGTTACTGGAGTAATACATTTTTCCATGCTGCTGTGGGGAAAACTAATTTGTAAACCTTCGTGTTTTTAAATACTGTAATTTAATAGCCTTACTCTTTCACGCACGAATCGGGAATTCTTTCGAAAATTCGAGAAGAAAATCTTGGGAACGTGTCGGAATGATTGTATTCTTCATTTTTTAAAGAAAAACTGAAGGGGAGGACTTCGGGGAAACGTTGGGGCGTTCCTCCGGGAAAGACGGCTGAAATTATATCTACACTTTACTCGGACGGAAGAATAATTTTTTTTAATGCATAAATAAATCGATCGGAAACACGAGCCCGATCGCCCACGCCTGTAGCAGTCGCCCACGAAGACTCGGTCATTTAAAAGAGCAATATAGAGAAATGAAGAAGAAAAAGAGGTTCCGAAATAAAAGACTGCCCGGGATAAGGTGAAAAATAAAGGTCCGGCGGGAATCACTTATTGTACGGCGGCCGGTATGACCGCGTGACTCAGCTGATGCTGAAGATCGCGATGATGCATGAGGAGGACATCGCCGCCGAGCGTCTGCCCCGCTGCTGCCGCCGCCACCACCACCACCGCCGCCGCCGCCGCTGCCGCCGTGGAAACCGGCTGCGATTCGGGTTTCCGTCACGGTCGGGGCCTTGTCCAACCTGCCCGTAATCAATCGCCATTCCGCCACCGCCACTGATTTCCGCCGAGTCACGTCCGTAGGTGACGGGAAAAGCCGGTATCAGCGCCCTCCTGGAGGCGAGCCACTTGTGTGGGATATTATTCCCTCTTCCTGCTTCTCGCCCCGAATTCTGGGTCCAAACTTTTTGAGAATTTCAAGTCCTGCTAGTTTTCTTTTCTTGTTTTAATAGCGTTAGCCAAAATATTGACGCGGGAATTTTACTTCGACTTGTGAACACCGTCTCACAGACTCACAATCATAAACGGAACAGCATCACAATACGAAAAAAAAAATTATTCACTCTTCCTTCTTCTCGCCTGGAATCTGGGTAGAAATTTTTTGAGAATTTCAAGTCCTTTTAGTTTTCATTTTTATTTTAATAGCGTTCGCCAAAAAGTCGACGCGGGAATTTTTTTAAGAATTGTGAAAAACAAACTCACTGACTCGTCATCTTAAACGGAACAAAATCACAGTATAAAAAAAATTATTCACTCTTCCTGCTTCTCGCCTAGAATCTGGTTGGAAAGGCTTTTGAGAATTTCAAATATTGACGCTGGAATCGAACTTCGAGTCGTGAAAACCACCTTACTGGCTCACACTATTAAACGAAACAACACCAAAATATGTGAAAAATTATTCACGCCTCCTGCTTTCGCCTAGAATCTTGGTCCTATATTTATGAGAATTTAGAGAGTTACTTGTTTTTGTTGAATTTTAAATAGAGTCCTTTAAAAGATTCGCAGCTTCGCGAAAAAAATGTAAAGTAGTGGGCATAAAGTTCTCAATTCAGGGTTGGAATGTAAGAAACCACTTCCATTGGAAAATATCCACGTTTTATTGTTTAGAAGTCTTGTCCAGAAAATCCCATTGGATTGGACGAAAGATTCAGGATTTTGACTCTAAAGTTGAAGCTGCCGAGGGAATACTTTTTCATGGTACTGCAGTGGCTCATATTTTTAAACAATATCACAATATGGAAACAGGAATAATTCACTCCGCCTGCTTTCACCTACAGTCGTCTGGGTCAAAAAGTTTTGAAAATTTCACGTTCCGATTGTTTTTTTGACATTTTAAATAGCATTTGGTAAAATATGGGCAATGGAATTAAACTTGAAATTATTTAAAATTTATCCACCTGTTATTAAAATAAGTACCATATTATCAACATTGAAAGGTTCGGCTTTTTTCTGACAAGCAGCACAACTAAAAATACTTTCTCGATCGCCGACAAATTTCCTTTTCTTCTCAACTTATTGTAAGAAACGTGCGATTGCAGTTTTTAAAATGCACTAATTTGAAGATTGGGGATTTCTAGCCAGTCATAAAAGACAAGGATCATTGAAAAATATTTATAAGAAACCTAACTGTACTTCCCAAAGAAGTTGGCTAGGCGAGAGGAAATCACTTATGCTTGGCTATTTTTCTTCAATTCAAATGGTGTATAAAAAAAACTCTGGATTCAAATATCCAAGCATCATATCGAGACGTTTCTTTAGATATTTCACAGATCCTTGACTTGAAACCTCTCTGTGAGTTCTGTATTTTTTCCTGATTCCTGTAATTCCATCGTGTGACAGTATTGTGAAAATGTACTTCGACACTAAGATTTTAAAAACTCCCGGGTCCCCTGTAGCGGAAACATTGATAGATTCTTTACAATTGCATGAGGATAACTTCAACAATCTTGCAAAGAAAAAAAGTATCGGACTAGAATTCGATGGGGTTTATTTTAATGGATTAGAAAAGGTACCGTCATGATCCTCTACAATTTTCAACTGTCAACTGCCATGCGTAATTCGGTTAAGAAAACGTGTTATCTTTCAACTGTAGCTATTACAGTATTTCATGAAGCATCGCATTGAAAATTCGTGATTTTCTTCTCGATGTAAAGAAGAAATGGCTCCAGTGCCCACTTCAAAAACTATGCATTTTCCCCCATGATTTTTCCTATTGGCCTGTAAAGGGAATAGTTTCGTTGGAATCTAACCAATCATAAGATATTATTGCTCCTGACTCCCTGGGTAGTGTCAAGATCTTCATAGTTGACCAAAGAAAAAAGTTAGATCTGCATATAAAGAATACATCCGAGTGTACGGTTCTCAGAGCATCATCCTCGCTCAGCAGTAGTTGCAAGAAATAATATAAAAAAAATGAGAGCTCGATCTGCGCATGCAAATGACGTCCGAAAGGCGTGATTTTATTTCGCTACCGACTCGCGTCGAACGTGAGCGGGATTTACGAGGAAATACGACGTGTGAAAAAAGAAAAAAACAGATGGAAATGAGTTGAAAAGCCCGAGGAAAAAAAAAAGAAGAAAAAAAAAAAAGAATAACGTCGGCTTCGCTTTGGGAGGAGTCGGAATTTTTGTAGGAGAGAGAGGAAATCGGAGCCCGGCTTTTTGGGCCTTCCTTTGCATGCCCTTTCGGTGCCGGGCGTCCGTTCGCCTTATAGCTGTGATTGAGGCAAGTGCCCGCCGGGTGTATTAACATGCATGACGGGCGACCGAGCGTAGGTGGGGATCCTTGGAATGATGAATATCTCAGCGGAATGCGTGATCCCGATGCGATGCACGAACTGCATCTGGGAGTACAACACATTGCGCCGGTAGGGATTCAGGCGGGACGCGATCCGCGTTTTTTTTTTTTCAGGTCCCGCGCCGGAACGCGAGGAATTCCTCGAGACTGCCCCTATGATTCTGGCAGGACACCAGCAAGAGCAATTAGAACTTTCTATTATTTAATAATATATGTATAGCAGTACGTGTTCCGAACCACTCTAATAAGTCAAATTTCAAGGAACCAGCAAAGAAACTCGAGTTTAGGGAAACGAGCATTTTCCTTGTCGTGGGAAAGATGGAGTGCTGTATATTGGAGGGAACTGTTCATCATGGCGATATTTTGGGC